TGCGCGCAACGTCGATGCCGCGAGGGCCACGCCTGCTGGCTCTTCTCGGAGCGCCTCACGCGTCTTCGGCTCGGTGGTGGGGGCAACGCGGAGAGCGAAGCTACGCCTCCCGACTCCTCTCGGAGCGCCTCGCGCCTTTTCGACTCGGCGGAGGGGGCAACGCGAAGTGCGAGGCTACGCCTCCAGGCTCCTCTCGGAGCGCCTCGCGCCTCTTCGGCTCGATGGAGGGGGCAACGCGGAGAGCGAGACGCTCCGAAAGGAATCAGGAGGCGTGGCCCTCGCGGCATCGATGCTGCTCGCAGCTTTATTCCGAGCCTGGCTCGAGAAAACCGTTTCAATATTTTTGTGTAAAACTCGAAGAAGCAAAGAGTGCTGATAAGCTTCGAGTCAACTTCGAAAGATAATTTCGCCGCGGACCGAAGCAAAAGTTTCGCCGCTCGCGGCGAGTCGATGCCGCGACGAACGAGTCGATTGGTTCCAGAACCAATTAGTTCGCTCTGGCGTACCCTCGGAACATATCGCACCTGTTACCTCCCAGTCTTTCTCGCCGGAACCATCGTCCGAGGTTTCCCTCCCGGAGCAGGGTTTCGCGCGAAAGCCGTCGCTGAAACAATTTTCGAGAACACGATATCGGACGCGACGAGAAAATGGACCGGGTTTGATCCGTGTCGTTTAACGTCATTCCATGGGTCCTATCGAGTCAGCAAGATTTCATCGTAAACGCCCCGAGGATCGACGCCGTTCGCTCGGTTCCGGACTTATCGCGAACTCTCGACGGCCATCTCCTCGTCCTCTTTCCTCTCTCGATATTTTTCTCTCTATTTTCCACTATTTTCCGCCGACTTTCTCTCTGCCTCTCTTCTGCTTTCTTTATTTTCCTTATGTTTCTCGCTCGTTCACGCTCGTTCACGCTCGGCCGGCACGTTCGCGGGACAGAGACAAAGGGTCCCGGCATAAATAATTTATCCGAAGGCAGAGATCGCTGCCGCAACGGTGTATGTTGCATTAAATATGAAATCCAATATAAAGTTCCGCGCGAAGAGCGGAGCAGCTACCGCCCTACCCGAGCCCATTACGCGGATCCTACGCGGAAGTTTACGCGCGCGAAACGCAGCTCCGCGTGCGATTAAACCGTTAACCGTGATCATTAAACCGCGGATCTACGCCGGCGAAACGAAAATTTCCAGCATCGGTTCCAGGAAACGCCGACCGAAACGAACATTTATCCGGCTCCCTCGATCGCTTAAACGAGACGAATTTCGCACGAAAGATCGCGAGCGTAGTCGCCGAACGGAGAAATGAAAAGCGAGTTCATTCGATTTTCCGCGGAAATGACGGACGAACGCAAAAGCGCCATTGCAATTTCAGTATCGATAATGACAAACGGCTCGTTCGATTCGAAAATTCCGCGAGATACGTTCGCCGATACGTCTAAATATCGAATAACGCGAGCGCCGGTTTTAATCGCCGACAGATTCGCTGTTAATAATTAATCTTATCCTTCGCGTTCAACCGTGATACCGTTTTATATTATCCGCCGCTGGGAGTCCCTCGCGGCGCCAGCCAGTTTGATTTGTTCAGCGCCAGAGAGTTCGCGAAACAATTAAACGCTCGCAGTTTCGCATCGCGTACCATTCTCGCCCCGACGTTTCAAAGTATTTCGGAACCGAAATATTTTACATAAGAGTTCAAAGAACTCCCGCGTGCCCTATCGTTCGCCGAACAAAATAAAAAAAGAAAACGCGCGATTGCGCTTTCCGTATTGTTTCGATGCTCGTTAATCGGCACGCGTACCCGCGACGCGAGCCGATTTGTAATTCATTAGCTAATTACGGCTCGAAGACTGTACGCGATCAGCTATGATAACGTTCGATTAACGAGCTTGCGAACCTTTTACGACCCCCCCCCCCCAACTGCGGGTTTACGGACTGCGAGCTATTTTACTTTCGATCCGCTTCTGCACACACGACTTTCCACCGATATCGCTGCTCGAGAGAAAAATTGTGCAACGTCGTCGCCGTGCTGCGAAGAAAAGGGAACAGCGACGAGATCTTTCGCGGACGATCGATGGAAACCGTCCTCGTATAAAATACCTGAGAAACCAGGAAAGGATCGTCCTAACCGCGGAAAAGTATGCGGCGGCGGGCGAATGTTTTCGTCGGAAGAGGGCAACGACGCCGTTACAGAAAATAGTTTTCGGTTGCCGCTGCACCGTCGACGACCGCCGAAATTGACGACGATAGCTGCATACTAGTCGGCGGTTCTTGAACGCAGCGGATAGCAGACGGTAGTAAAGCGTGCATCGACGTTCAATCGTACACGCCGCTCGAATATCGATGCAACGCGCGCGGCGGACCCCATGGGGCAGCTGCGCCGGGCTGCATTTTCCATCAATCGTCGGCCAACTGCCGTTCATTCGATATATTTTTTAATATCAAACTTCCACCTTGTACCTGAAAGCGGTATTGTAATCGAGGGGAAGAGAGAGTTTCAAAGCGAGAGCGAAAATTGCGAACGCTGTCGACCGTTGTCGGAACGAGACGAGGCGTGTTTCGGCCTACGCGTCCGGGATAATTAGAGAAGCCGGATTTATTATACAGAGTGTCCCAAAAATGTCTCGCAATCCGAAAGTAGGGGGTTCCTCAGGTCATTTGAAGCAACTTTTTCCTTAGCGAAAATGCAATCCGCGGCTTCGTTTACGAGTTATTAACGAAAAACAGTGACCAATCGGAGGCGAGATCATTTGGCGCTAGACGGCCGAGCCAATGAGCGGAACTGGGCTCCGTGCACTCGTTGACTGGGCCGCCGCGCGCCAGCCGAGCTCGCCTCTTATTGGTCAGTGTTTTTCGTTAATAACTCGTAAACGAAGCCTCGCAGAACATTTTCGCAAAAGAAAAAGTTGCTTCGAATGACCTCAGGAACCTCCCATTTCCGGATTACGAGACATTGTCGGGACACCCTGTACATATCAGCCAACACGGAAACGAGCTTCGCGAGACGCGAGACGATGCTTCGGCAAAGGCAGCGAATCAACGCGAATTGAAAAAGAATCGAACGAATCGCGTGGCGTTGATCCTTTCGGGATTCGACGAAAGTCGCACCGTATTTTCGCCGCTATTAGCCGGGTATTAGCTCTCNCGCCATTGCAATTTCAGTATCGATAATGACAAACGGCTCGTTCGATTCGAAAATTCCGCGAGATACGTTCGCCGATACGTCTAAATATCGAATAACGCGAGCGCCGGTTTTAATCGCCGACAGATTCGCTGTTAATAATTAATCTTATCCTTCGCGTTCAACCGTGATACCGTTTTATATTATCCGCCGCTGGGAGTCCCTCGCGGCGCCAGCCAGTTTGATTTGTTCAGCGCCAGAGAGTTCGCGAAACAATTAAACGCTCGCAGTTTCGCATCGCGTACCATTCTCGCCCCGACGTTTCAAAGTATTTCGGAACCGAAATATTTTACATAAGAGTTCAAAGAACTCCCGCGTGCCCTATCGTTCGCCGAACAAAATAAAAAAAGAAAACGCGCGATTGCGCTTTCCGTATTGTTTCGATGCTCGTTAATCGGCACGCGTACCCGCGACGCGAGCCGATTTGTAATTCATTAGCTAATTACGGCTCGAAGACTGTACGCGATCAGCTATGATAACGTTCGATTAACGAGCTTGCGAACCTTTTACGACCCCCCCCCCCCAACTGCGGGTTTACGGACTGCGAGCTATTTTACTTTCGATCCGCTTCTGCACACACGACTTTCCACCGATATCGCTGCTCGAGAGAAAAATTGTGCAACGTCGTCGCCGTGCTGCGAAGAAAAGGGAACAGCGACGAGATCTTTCGCGGACGATCGATGGAAACCGTCCTCGTATAAAATACCTGAGAAACCAGGAAAGGATCGTCCTAACCGCGGAAAAGTATGCGGCGGCGGGCGAATGTTTTCGTCGGAAGAGGGCAACGACGCCGTTACAGAAAATAGTTTTCGGTTGCCGCTGCACCGTCGACGACCGCCGAAATTGACGACGATAGCTGCATACTAGTCGGCGGTTCTTGAACGCAGCGGATAGCAGACGGTAGTAAAGCGTGCATCGACGTTCAATCGTACACGCCGCTCGAATATCGATGCAACGCGCGCGGCGGACCCCATGGGGCAGCTGCGCCGGGCTGCATTTTCCATCAATCGTCGGCCAACTGCCGTTCATTCGATATATTTTTTAATATCAAACTTCCACCTTGTACCTGAAAGCGGTATTGTAATCGAGGGGAAGAGAGAGTTTCAAAGCGAGAGCGAAAATTGCGAACGCTGTCGACCGTTGTCGGAACGAGACGAGGCGTGTTTCGGCCTACGCGTCCGGGATAATTAGAGAAGCCGGATTTATTATACAGAGTGTCCCAAAAATGTCTCGCAATCCGAAAGTAGGGGGTTCCTCAGGTCATTTGAAGCAACTTTTTCCTTAGCGAAAATGCAATCCGCGGCTTCGTTTACGAGTTATTAACGAAAAACAGTGACCAATCGGAGGCGAGATCATTTGGCGCTAGACGGCCGAGCCAATGAGCGGAACTGGGCTCCGTGCACTCGTTGACTGGGCCGCCGCGCGCCAGCCGAGCTCGCCTCTTATTGGTCAGTGTTTTTCGTTAATAACTCGTAAACGAAGCCTCGCAGAACATTTTCGCAAAAGAAAAAGTTGCTTCGAATGACCTCAGGAACCTCCCATTTCCGGATTACGAGACATTGTCGGGACACCCTGTACATATCAGCCAACACGGAAACGAGCTTCGCGAGACGCGAGACGATGCTTCGGCAAAGGCAGCGAATCAACGCGAATTGAAAAAGAATCGAACGAATCGCGTGGCGTTGATCCTTTCGGGATTCGACGAAAGTCGCACCGTATTTTCGCCGCTATTAGCCGGGTATTAGCTCTCGGGTCGGCTCTCTACGTTTACTTAAACGACGCTCGACGCCGTTAAAACTCACCCCGGTTATTTCTCGGTTTTTCAGGATGCAGAGACAAAGCCGGAGTAGCTCGGAGGTGGAGGTTGCGCTTATGCGCCCCGTAAGCACCGCTGGCTAATAGCACCCCGGCCCATCCCCGACACCCTGCAGCCACACCAGGTACGGTACAACCTCTTTACGTCTGTCTTTTATGTTTCGAACGACGGCCACTTTCACGACGAATATATACGGCGAACCTCTTCGTTGACTTCTTGCTTTTTTCTTGGACAATATCTTGTCTTCTCCCGTGTTCCGATTTTTAAAGTATCCCGCGGACCGTTGCATTGCGAAATGCGTTCGGCGACCCGTCCCGTCGCTGTCGGAAATAAGGAAGCGTCGCGACGAGGAACGCGCGGAATCGATCGCTCGATCGACGGTGTATCCTCGATACGCGAATCGATTTCTCGGTTCGTGCCGACGCGACGCGACGCGACGTGAAAACTAGCTCCCTGCAGACGCTGTTACTCTGCCGGCGACCCGCGACCGCGGACACTTTATCGCTTATTGTCGCGACACAACGGAGGTCTCTGCCACGGAATCCCTTCGGCGGTGCTACGTTATATGGAAGGGCGCCGGCATATTTCAGATTCAAATCGTCGGATATACGGCACCGAAGCGGCATTAAGCGGCCGGATCGTAAAGACTGCTCAACGGAAGCGCGTCGCGAAGCGTTTTACCGTCTCGATAATTAATGGATCGCCGTGAATCAAGGTTAACGCGGCCTCTAATGCCGACTAATTCCGCGAAGAAATTCATGACGCGCTCTTATCGCGAGCTTTGTCCAGCGTTTATTGTATTTATAATTATCTGCGCCAGGATCGTCGCGGCGTTAACGGGGAAGAGATTAACGCTGCGACCGTAACACCGTCTATTTGGCGGCACTGTTCGATGAGATTGAACGCTAAACCTGTAACGAAAACGTCAGCCTACGAATCGCTCCGTCGTTCGAGCTTTTTTTCGACCGTCGATCGAGAATCGTTCCTCGAACTCGGCCCGTTCAGAAGCAATTACGCGTCTCTCGACGGAAGCGTATTCGAAATAATCCGAGTAATCCGGTCGCGATAATAGCTTCGGAGCACGAAGCCGCTTGTGTCGGCGTAAATATTACACCGTTGGCCTCGGACCTACGTTCCGCGCCGCGCCGCGCCGCGGCAGAATGCGCTTTTCGTGGCCGTTCCCTCATTTTTGACGTCGGTTCCCCTGTCGTTGCTTTATAAACCAGGCATTCGCGTAATCCCGGTCTGTCTCTATTATTTAATATTCCCCGACGCGGCGTTCCCGCGGCCGGCTTCCCGCGCGCGGTTCACATTTTGCTCCCGGTCGGGCCGGGCCGGGCTCTATTCTCTTATCGCGCGATATTTGCGTTTCGAATAATTCTTTGCGCGCGATGTTCGTGGATAAGACTTTCGTCTCGTCGCGTTCAGCGTGCCAGAGGACGGGAGGAATCGTTTTTTGGGACACCCTGTATGCTCTCGGACGATGCGCGCCCATAAATCGCGCAATTAAATCGCGACGCGCGTCCGAGCTTGTAAATAGAATTTCAGGAAAATTGAGCGATCGAGGAGGCAAAAGTGAATGTTAAATTTGCGAGCGGAAGAGATCCGCGGGAGTCCCGCGTATCGGTTATGGTTATGGGAGCCAGAAAATATGTGTCGGGCGCGTTATTGGCCGATCGAACCGGTCGCGGAACGGACGGACGGGCCGGCCCGATCGGAATTGCTAATTAGGCGCGTGTAAAATTACTGTAAATCGACGGCTCGGCTATTATCGTAAACAGCCTATCCCGGCCCGGGAGTAATTCACCGGGCGCGGCCCGTTCGTTTATCCGTCGCGACCAAATACGGAGCGCTCCCAGACGATTCCGCCGTTTTCGGAATTAACGCGCGATTCCGATCCCGATCCGGCCGCGAGCCTCCTTCCGCGCTGATAAATACGTTCGAGAGCTCGGCCCGGGGTTTATGACACTGTAACGTTTTTACGACGCCGAAATAAAACGGCCGATGAAAATTCCGGCCGTTTAAAACGCGATCGCGGGCCAAAGTGCGGATCAGCTTTGCGCATAAACGCTCTGCTCGTCGGTTTTCTTTTTCCGATCGAGTATATAGCGTGTCATTTTATGTAACCTATAGCATTATAATACAACGTGGACCGTTCATTTTGAAAGCGGCGCAAGCTCGTCTATAAATATCATTTTATCGTCGTCGAACGGAAATAAGAAATTCGAAGCAATTCATTTCATTGTACATTGTAATGTCTCCCTAACTGACGCTCATATTGTGCACAATGATTGACGCTCGGATTGTCCACAAAGATGGACAGTTTGAGAAGAGGAGATACGATTATTCGAGCCTTGCAGCTCGTTTTTTTACGGTTGTCGATTGTCAACGACTATAAAGACGAGTCGCAAGGCTCGAATAATCGTGTCTCCTCTTCTCAAACTGTCCATTTTTGTAAACGAACCGAGCGTCAATTGGAGAGACATTACTGTACTTTCACTTTAGATACGACAAAAGAAATAATCCGCGAGATTCCATGTTCTTTTCGTTCATTTTTCTCGTAGATGCGAAACGATCCGAGTACGCCGATCAATCTGCGAACGATCGGCTCGCAGATTTTCTCGCGCGCGCGCGCGGGAAGATTCCGCCGATGACGCTCGCGCGTTGGCAGGATTCCAGGCTAATTGAGAAAGAGTTTTCGAGTTTTCCGGCGAGCGTACGGCTAACAAGATCCCGAAGTTGCCTGGCGGCCGCGCTTACAAATTCCATCTCGACAGAATAATTATAATATTATTCCGGCGGGAGCGGGGTCGCGATCGATGGAAGCGGAACGACGCGACGTTTAGCGCGTGTCTACGATTTCTTTGCCCGATCCGGGGCCGCGTAATTACGGGAACGTGATTCGGCCGGGACGAGCCCCGTCTCGGGGAGCGGTCGCATGAAATATTCGAAGCGCTCGGAATGTCGGATTCATGAATATCGCGCGACGCGTATGAATTAGTCGGGAACAACGATGGAAGTTTAATCGGGACGCCTCGTGGCCTTCCTAGCCTCGCTATCGGTCTCCGGAGGAACGCGGCCGGGGCCCGGATCCGGAGAATTCGCTCCCGTCTTTTGCCAAAATGTCGACGTTCCGTCGGCACCCAACGCTCGCGCGCCCAAACGCGCATTTTGTCATAAGCGCTGCTTTCTCCTTGAGATTGCGCGACGAACCCTGGTCGATATTTATGCGACCATTTGTTTATCGGCCCTTTATTTAAATCGGGGACGAAGAAAGATACGCCGCGTTTTATTTAGAAAATTGCGTTCGATTCGCAATTTTCGACTGAGAAGTCGCGAGCCGCTAAATCGCGCGTGCCGCTGAAACGATCTCGAGGTTAGCATCCTCCAGAAATCGTTCGAGGATCCGGATCTCGAGCAGTCCTTGCCCCGCTTCTGCCGCGCAGGCGTTTCAATTACCGCAGTTTCCCTCTTGCCCGAGTTTCCTCGCGGAAACGTTTTATCGCAGGAACGAAACCGGCGACAGCCGACTCGCTTTCGCTCTTCCCGATTCGACGAGAGAAAACAGAAACACAGAGCCTTTTAAAGAGTCGGTACCCACTCCGCGGGACACGATAATTCAGTTCCACCGAGGCTCTCCTCGCTTCTCTCGCGATTGCCCCCCCCCC